TTTTCTTCAGCTTCAGTTTGAATTTGCATATGAGTAATTGATGGTCTGTTCCACAGTCTGCCCCTGGCGTTGTTTTCACTGATGATATGGAGCTTTACCATCATCTCTTTCGGCAGATGTAGTCAATTTGATTTCTATGTATTCCATCTGGTGAGGTCCATGTGTAACAGTCATCTCTTATGCTGTCTTAAGAAGGTATTTGTAATGAACAAATCATTGTTTTTGCAGATTTCTATCATGCGCTCTCCAGCTCATTTTATCACCAAGGTCATATGAAACATTGTTGTTGTTGTTAAGTAACGTGGAGTCGATTCCGAGTCATAGTGACCCTGCACAGGGTTTCTGAGGCTGTAAATCTGTACGGGAGCAGAACACCTCATCTTTCTCTTGTGGAACCGCTGGTAGTTTTGAACTGCTGCCCTTGAGGTTGGCAGCCTGACTCGTAACCAGTATGCTACCAGAGCTCCTTATGAACCATTGTATGTACCTCAAATTTTTATTTAATATAATAGGCTTTATGGGGATTGAGATCATGGACGTATATGTGTTTGGATGTTGCCAAACAGACGTTAAATGGCTTGTGACTGTATATTATTTATTACTTGAATCTTTTTACTAGACTACAAGCTCCATAAAGATGTCTTGTGAACTGAAGCATGTTGATGTTCGTTTCCAAGTTGACTCCAAGTCATAATGACCTTATGTATAATAGAATGAAACACTGTCTGGTCCTACACCATCTTCATGTGTGCTAGTTGCCCAGAATATTGCTTTGCATATAGTGGGCTCTCAATAAAAAGTGTTAAATAAATCATTATGTTAATCATGATATAAGCATAGACATTATGGCTAAATCCTGTAATAATCCTCTATTATAGAGCTCTGGTAATGATTTACAGCCTCGGAAACCCTGTGCAGGGCCAGTATGAGTTGGAACCAACTCCATGGCACTTAATAACAATAGATATTTTAATCCCATCTTCTGAATCAGGTAACCATCTCACAGTCCAAGTTCTCTATCTTTTTAAGTGACCATAGTTAAATAAGTGACACAGCCCTCATTTATTCTCATCTCTCAGTGCTTCTGGGAATTTGACTCTCTTTCAACAGGTGGCATGGTTCTCCTGAGAGATAACACTTCTAGAATATAACAAATTCTGGTCTAGCTTTATCTTTCTAATCAACCAATCCAAGAACTTTCTCCAATATTTTCAAGAGCAAATTATATGCCAACAGCATGCTACCATTTCCTTAAGAGAGAGAAAGGGAAGCGTTTAGGAACTCAAAAAGAAATATGGTCTCAGTGTTTGAGTTCGGAGAAGATTATAATGCTTAGGTACTGTTACAGTTAATTAGTTTTATAGCCTGAGCAGATTCACTTTGAGATCTGGGGTGAGATGTTTATTTAGTTCATGCTGTGTTAAACAACTGTGACATTTGCAAAACCAAGTGAATATACTAAAAACCACTGAACCGTACACTTTTAATGGAAAACTTCATAGTATATGAATTACATCTCAATAAACAGTTATTCCAAATAATAACGTTTGGGTTTGGTTCAGATCATAGTCCATCAGTTTATTTCAATTTATGGTTCAGAGATGAGTCCTGGTATGGCACTCAAGATAATGCAATGAACCGCTGAGTTGGTTTGAACCAGAAGTTCGGTGGTTTAAACCCACCAGTCGCTCCTTAAAAATCCTATACAGGATCACTATAAGTCAGAACCAACTCGAAGGCACTTAACAATAACAAAACAATGGTTCAAAACAGTTTGAGTCATGTGACTAGATCAAGAAAAAAAAATGTGAGAACAATTTCAGTATCTGACACAGTAAAATTATAACAGGCTGAAATCTGTATACAATATAACCAAATATATACACACCGGCATCACTTACAGGTTAATACTACTAAATAACAAGACATTTGCTAAGTGCCAAAACAGCCAAAGATAAGTGCCTAGTGGTCCATACACATTAGAGCATTTAGGATTTAAATCTCTAAATTTAAATTTAAATTTTTGGAGCTAATCATTGCTTCTAAGTTACTTTAAAAAGATACAGAAAGTTGGGGTTAGGGGTGGGACTAGTAACTTGTAAAGAAAGAGATCTTTATTAAAGTATAGGAAATGACTACTATATAACTTTCTGAAAAATCCTAAATTGGAATCCTTACAGTAGCCTTTGTAATCAATACAGCAAAGTATGTAAAGGTTAGGAATCAGGAAATAGCATGAAAACAAATGTATGTATATATCTGTAAAAACGCTTTTCCTCTTTTAAACACAACCACTATACACTGTTGTTGTTAAGTGCTATCGAGTAGGTTCTGAATCATAGCAACCCTGTATAAGGAAATGCTGGTGAGTTTGAATTACCCATCTTACAGTTAGCAGTCCAGTGCTTATCTTACAGTGCCACACCAGGAATCTACTCACTGGTGGTGGTGGCTGTGTGCCGTGGAGTCAGTTCTGACTCAACAGCGACCCTGTACAGGGTTTCTGAGGCTGTAAATCTTTATGGGAGCAGAACGCCTCATATTTCTCCCGTGGAACAGCTGGTAGTTTCGAACTGCTGACCTTGCAGTTTGCAGCCTGATTTGTTACCACTATGCTACCAGAGAGCTCATTGGTATCTACTCACTAGGCACTTTTATTTTATTTAATATTCAATTAATAAATAAAACTAATAATATTAATTTTATTTAATATTCAACATGGTCAAACCCAGGTAATATGATAAAAGAAGCCAGGATTACAATTGTTTGTTCTTGTGAAGTTACATGCTCTGGATAAGTTATATGAGTCTCTCATAAATAAGAAAGTTATTTTATTTACTTAATTGTAATTCATAAGCCACTTTCTTCCAAAAAGTTTTAAGATGGCTAAGTGCATATGGTAATAAACAGAAATCCCTGACCATATATTAACTAGTCTTTTAATGACCAACAGTATCTTTAGATAACAGAATGCTTGGCACATGGTAGGTAATCAGAAAACATGAGGAGAATTCAAAAGTTCATGGAAAATTTTCATTATCTTTTTAATTTCATTTTTTCAAGGACTTTTTGAAGTCTTCTCGTAATGATATATTGATGACTAAATAAATACAAGGGCGAAGAGAAATCTTACAAGGCTGGAGGATGTACATAAAGGACACATGATATTCATGGGAGACAAAAGCAATATGTACATTTTATTAAATAATTAACTTTGAAGCCCGGAGGAGCTTCCAAACCTAATACTTTCTACTCCTGTTATTTTTACTGCTATTCATCCATCCAACAATTATTTACTGAGTACCTACTATATACCAGTGTGGTGCTGTGAGTTAATGTGCTAGAATGCAAAGTTGGTTTAAACCACAAGGTCGGTGGCTAAAGCTTACTAGCTGCTCCTTGGAAACCTTATACAGGGTCACTGTGGTTTGGAACCAACTCAATGGCACTTAACAACAATAAGTATAAAATGGTAAGCAAAACATGGAAATTAATCTTTTTCTCATCAATAACTGCATTTCCCATGAACATAGGGCACCTTTGATTGGACAGGGCTGATAAGAGTACTTGCCTAAGATTCTTCAGTGAATAAAGATAAGGCATACAGAAGGCTCACAGATTCAGTTTCAAGTTCCATCATCCCTTCCTTGCGATTTCTTCAATTCTGTTAGTGACCTCAGAATTTTTATAGTAAATCTCCTTCCATTGCTTAAAATATGACTTCCTGACATTTGCAACTACAAAACTTTTCCAAATATAACTTTCATTACATAGATGAGAAATATGAGGCCTAGAGAGGCTAAGTAAGTTACTTGCCCTTTCTCACAGGTAGGAAGAACTGGAAACAAAACACAGGTCCCCTGACTCTCAATCCTAAACTACTGTGGGTCCAAGTGAAAAACAAAACGTTGTTGTTAAGCGCTGTCAAGCCAGTTCTGATTCATAGCGACCCTGTATAGGGTTTCCCAGGAGCAGATGGTGAGCTTAAACAGCTGACCTTGAGGTTCACAAACTGACCTTGCAGTCCAAGGCATTAATCTGCAGCGCCACATCAGGACTCCTAAAGCCTACAGCACCTGGTATTCCCAGGTAGTCTCCCATCCAAGAACTATGTTCAATTCAACTCTGCTTAGCTTTCGCGATCAGATGAGATCAGGCACATTCAGGGTGACATGGCAGTACACATAGAAACTGACATAGAATACCTCATGAACCATGGAGCCCAGCAGGAAGTCCAGCCTCTGGCACAGCTCTCCAAGGTTGGATAAACTGCTGGCCCTGTGGGCACTATCTGGATCTCTTGTTCCCCTCAAGAAGGTGTTCATCAAAGGTTCTCGGTACTTTGAGACCATGTCTCCTGTAGAAAAAGGGAAGCAATCAAAACTTAATAAAACAAATTTTCAACTTTTTAAAGAAGGATTAATGATATCACTAAGGTAAATAGAATGGTGCTTTGTGTCTTTCAAGGTACTTGTAGAACCATTAGAACTCATGCTCTGGAAGAATATTTAATGTCAGGAAAAATACCCATAATGTATTATTTTGTGAAAAATCAAGTTAGAATCCAATTTCATTTTTAAAAATTACACAAACAGATAAAATATTTGAAGAAAATAGTCACTGTGAGAGGTTGGTAAAAGTTATTTCAGAAAGTTAGACTTTTCAAAGTTTACATATGCCTACAAGAAAATGTGAAGTCCTGGTGTGACGCTGTAGGATAAACATGGGACTTCAATGCTGGTTTGAATCACAAGGGTGCTTTTCAGAAACCCTACACTGGGTCACTATGAGTCGGAACTGATTCGATGGCACGTAACAAGAAAATGTATATATCATAAATGCAATAGTTTAATAAACTTTCACAAACTTAACACAAGAGTGGCCACACAAATTTCAAGTTATGACTCAGATTTGACCCTAATAGTAAGTCAAATATTTTTCCTACTAATTTTAAATTTGCATAAGCTGCCTATTCAGATGAGCAAATTGAGTCAAAAGACGTCAAGGTATTTTGGGTCCTTGGTTAAAGAGAGAACAATGATTCATTCACTGACAAAAACTTACTGAAAGACCTAGTATGTACTAGGCACTCATTCAGATGTTCAGGGCACACCAGCAAACAAAAGAGATTGGATGGCTTACGTTACTTATTTATTAAGCTTTTATTGTAAATTGGGTGATAGTTTACATGGGAGAACATAAGTTTTGCACTCATCGTATCATATTTTGTTTCATTGCAATGATTACAATCTCCTCCATCTATCATCACTGACTAGTATTTGCTTCTATTCTCTTTGGATTTTTTGTTTTGTTTGGTATTTTATGTACACAAAACCACTTGGGAATATATAATCATTTACACAATGAAAGGGCACATTCTGTGAACCTGCCTCCTGGCCATCAACACACAGTCTTTGTCTTTCCATGAGTCTAGAGTCCTCAGCTACTCTGTGTCTTCATAACATCACCACTGCATACATCTCTGGTGCCGCTGCTTCTCTGCTTAGAGTACCAAGTTCAACTCATGTTCTTCTCTCTTGGTGGTCCTAGGGTCCTATGTTCTTGGAATGTAAGATTAACTACTCCCCCCTTTATGTTACAAAACTTCTACATTTACAGTTGTGACAACTGCAATTAATCATGATAACAATTACTCACTGCCGAATGAAAAGAATCTTATTCCCATCTCCTTTCACCATACCTATGGAGACAAGATGAAAACTATTCAATAGTGGGGATTCTACATTCCCTCACACACTCTGAATCTAAAATCCCTTTTGAAAATTTGTAAGACAGCCACTTTGTGCCTTTATAGCTCCCCCTCCCCAATTTTAGGTAGCCAATGTCTAAGTTGCCCATCCCTATCAACCCTGTATACAAAGGGGATACACTCGATACTTGATATGAAGACTCCTTCCTTCTCGGTTGGTATTTTGAGCTACATCTATAAGTACAAGTCAAGTTCATCAAATTGTAGCAATTTACACTTGCTTACTTTATTAAATTTCTTTATCTACCTCTAGTCGAGTTCTGATCATCAAGACATCGAAGCTAGGTCAAATGGATACTACCTGCAAGTTTGAGCGTTCTTGTGCGTCTTCCCCTACTTCACATCAGCTGGACACTTCATTCTCAGCTCTAGCCCTCTGTGGTTAGGTCAATGTCCATGAGCTCAGGAGTTCCCAAATATCCCCAAATGTCGAACCAACCATTTTTGAACCAACCATTTTCGAACCAACCAACCATTCCTCTTCTCACTCTCATCTCCAGGTAGACAGGAGTCTATGGAATGTGGTCGAACTTAGCCCATTATCTTCATTACTACCTTTCCCCCACTTCCACTCACAAGTAGACCAACGTGGTCGCCAGCGAGCTTACATGTTTGCTCATGTGTGCCCTCTGAGTCTTAGAGGGGGGTTTGTCCTGAAGAGACTTGATTGTTTGCGTTAATGGCTCCCCAGTGAACAGCCTGCTTGTTCTTTTAATAGCCAAACAGACTGCCATTTTTACTTTGATTTTTTCCTGCTGGTCTTTCAGGAAGTATTTTCTTAGCATATTATTATTATTGGAGATAAATAATTACATTTTACAGCATTTTAATAGGTGATAAAAAGTATGAGGAGAAAAAAAGTAATGTAAGATAAAGGAAATAAGGAAAAATGAAAAGGTTATCTGGGGAAGATTTGAAGAAGAGGTGCCAGCCATGTAGATCTCTGGGGGAAAGCATAGCAGGAAAAGGGAAAAGTCAGTGCAAAACCCCTTTGTGAAGAACATGCTTGGCATGTTTGAGGTACATCAAGGAAGCCCAACAGGAGAGTAGTAGGTCGTGGGGCCTGAGACGCACTGGCAGACATGAGGTGGTAGTGCAGATCTTTTAAGACCTTGCAGGCACTATAAGAGGTTGGGTTTTTTTCTCTGACTATAATGGGAGGTATCTGGAGAACACTGAGTAGCAGAGAGCAGAAAGAGTACTCTGGCTGCTATGTTGAGAGGAGAGTGTGAGATCACTACGTGTGTCTGAGTTGGGAACAAAGGTAGAGGTCAGAATGACATTGCAGTCATCTCCTTACAAGAGGATAGTGACTTGAACAGTAGAAGTCATGAGAACAAGAGTCTGCATGTATTTTGAAGATAGAAGCAACATGACTTCCAGATGTCTCGAAGAATGACTCAGGATTCTCTCTTTTGAGACTGGAAGGATGAAGTTATTGACAAGTGCCTAAGAGAAGTAGATATGGAACAGAAGAAAGGATCAGGGTTCAGTTTTAGGCATGTAGAGTAGGTAGGTACAGATTTATATGCACTGATATGGAAGGCCTCCTCATGATGCTGTTAAGAAATCTAAAACCCTCATAGAAACAGTATATTTCACTACATATATGAATATGCACACATACAATTTCTCTTGCTAGTAGCAAAGCAAATTTACAATAACCCTCATGGAGGGTCAGTAAGTCTCTACTTGACAATGAAAATGGAAGACATAAGAATTGATGCATTTGATTGTGGTGCTAGCCAAGAATACTGAATTGACAGTGGACTGCTAGATGAACAAACAAATCAATCTTAGAAGAAATACAACCAGAATGTTTCCTAGAGGCAAGAATGAGAAGACTTCGGTTCGCTTACTTTGGATACGTTATCAGAAAATACACCCATTTATTGAGTACTTAACTATGTACAGACACTGTGCTGAACACCTCACTTACATAAGCTCAAGAAGTCTGTGAGGTAGACATTATTATGCTTATTTTACAGATAAGAAAAACGAGATGGAGGAATTAAATAACTTGTCCTAAAAGTACACAGACCCAGGGATCAAACTTGTTATTATTGTGCCGTGGAGTCGGTTCCGACTCATAGCGACCCTGTACATGGTTTTTCCAAGGCTGTAAATCTTTACAGGAGCAGAAAGCCTCATCTTTCTCCCACAGAACAGCTGGTAGTTTTGAACTGCTGACCTTAAGGTTTGCAGCCTGATTCGTAACCACTATGCTACCAGAGCTCCTTGGGATCAAACTTATGTTTGTCTAATTCTAACTCCTATTATTATTGCATTTAAGGTATTTACCACTAAGAAAAAACATACTTTTCTATTCTCGTTGCATTATTTTTCCTTTTTGGAATTAGGGATAGTGGTTGTGGAATCTAGAGTACTTCTCTAAGAACTAATAAACCTGTGTCCTCATGTTGGCCCTACTGTCAACTAGCATTATGACTGTGGGCAATTCACTGCACCTCTCTGAGCCAACTGGAAACATACCAGCTGGATAGTCCCCTCCTAGTCCCTTCCAGTTGGAAGAGTCTATGATTTTATGAGTCATCATGGTTTAGTCATCATGGAAATGAGATTTAGGAGACTGGAGAAGGAAGAAAAGGGATTATTTGCATGAATCCTGAAATAGGAAAATGCTGTGAATAAAAGAAGAAGTTTCCTTGCTGGGAAGGAAGGCATAGAAAAATAAATGAAGTTTAGAAATCTATAAAGAGGGAATATGCAGGCTGGAAAGGCAAAGAGCAAATGAGAAGCAGGTTAAAGTTTGTTTACTAATATAGGGATTGAAAGTTTAAAATAAAAGGCAAATCAAGGTCATACTGAATTACTTTATTAATTTGTCAAATGCTTATACTGTACTATGTGCCAGACACTGTGCTATGTACTAAGAATCTAATCATAAGCAAGAAAGACACAATCCTTGCCCGCCTTGTGTTCAAAGCTTAATGGGAAGAGAAAAAAAATCAACAACCCAGAAATAACAATGGAATGAGATGTACTTATAATGGCTACAAAGAAAGAGTAATATTTTATCATGGTTCCTATTTCTATCAACAACAGTTTGATTAATATTTTATTTACCCATACTCAGAAGTGTGTTACTCTTTCTTAACTTCTTCTATTATCCTTCAGCCATCAGTTGGTTCTCTTATTACTGTTGTTGTTAGGAGCCGTCAAGTCTGCACCAACTCATAGAGACCCTATGCAAAGCAGAACAAAACACTGCCTGGTCCTGTGCCAAACTGACAATTATTGCTACGCCTGACCTTATTTTTGCTGTCACTGTGTCAACTCATCTCATTGGGGGGGTCTTCCTCTTTTCATCTGACCCTCCACTCTACCAAGTATGATATGCTTCTCCAGGGACTGGTCCCTCCTGATAGTATGTCCGAAGTATTGAAGTTTGGCTATCCTGGCCTCCAAAGAGCACTCTGACTGTACTTTTCCAACACAGATCTGTTTGTTCTTTTGGCAGCCCATGGTACTTTCAATATTCTCCTCCAACACCATAACTCAAATGCATCAGTTTTTCTACGGTCTTCCTTATTCATTGTCCAACTTTCGCATGCATATGAGGTTAC